AATTTATTTGAAAGAAAAAGTTTCCACGTTATTCGTTTGAAAATGTACAGAAATGATATTTGAAAAGTTCATTTACTCGCGATTTAGTGGAACACGACGATTGGAAAAGAATGAGGGAGAATATTTGGAACTATAAATGTTAATTAAAGAGTAAAGGCCTCTAAAAGTCAATGTTATTGTAGTCGAGAAATCTTAAATATCATAATTTATATTTTATTTAGTAAGCATGGCATTTTGACGATGCGACAATGTCTGTATGTGAGAACCTGTATATAATTTATTTAATAAAGCGTATTCATGCTGTCATGCTGTATATATATATATCGTTCATGGAAGCATGCGATATATTATTACTTGGCGACAAAGGAATAGGTCGACTCGTTAATTATTAAATATTTATGCCAGCCGCTTGGAAAACAGCGGATCCAATGAATATATCGCTATATTTAGCGGAGTAACATGTTCTCTTTGTGTATTCGATGTAATCAAGCTTCTATGGATCGGTAACATTCGGTGAACTTCGACTATCTTCGGATTTTCCCGGCTCCTCGCGCGATGTATAGTATATAAATTCACTATACTGATGACCGTTAATCACGTTGACATTCGGCTTTATATTCTATGAAATTCGAATTTTTTATTCAAACGTCATCTGAAATTTCCGACGAAATAGGAACGAAATAGGAAGGATCAGTGTTTGAAAATTTGTTCGAAACATGTCGTTGAAACATGTAGCGAAAAAGAATCGTCTCACGATGCTTTGATCAGCAGATTAGAAACGGAAAGAAGGACGCAGATCCACGGTGCCTTGTGGAAATTAATACGAAAGTCTACGTCTTGTGAACCGGTACGTCTCATCCGCTTCTCTTTGTTCTCACGCGAACCCGATTGTTTCCATTCTACGCGTACCTTCGACGTTGTTGTGGCTTTAGTTCGAATAGAGGAATGTACGAGTAGTCTCAATGTCCTTTACAGGCACATGTAAACTCATCGATCAAAAGGGAATGTTTGTTTTGCTTCTCTCTGCTTTCGAGTTTCAAGCCATCGTGAAGGTTAGACCGAATGACAGTACGATCACTTGACGACCTGGTAAGTGGATGAACTTTACATCAACCTGTACGTCTGACTCATTCGCGCGACGATAAGGTACTTTATAGACTTGACTTTTTAGAACTGTTTCTAAACAACGTTTCAATGTTTAACGTGTTGTGCTAAAGGTAAAGAGAAAGTGAATTTTAACAACCACGTTTTATTATTAGTTAGTGCGAGTTTAATCTTCTAATCCTCTGCTTAAACGTCTGTTTTATTGATTTACGACAGGATCATGTAGAAAATCTGTAGCAATAAAATTTTATAAGCCAACATGTTAGAAGCTGTATTTACCTTCTTGGACAATTTAATTGTAAAATAACGTTTATTTGTTTTACCGAATGTGCTTCAGATTTGAAAATACGTATAACTGAAACAAACAATGGCTGGCAGTGGAGAACTTTGGGTACAGTGCTTTACTTGTTGTTTGATGCAACAAGGAGCAAGGACACGCAATGGAAGACAAAGGTCACACCAGAGGCTAAGGATAGATCGTAGCATGATAGGAGTACCTACAAATTTTAGGCATACCGGTCATATTAGTAGTGGAGATCTGGACATGAGCAGTGCACAATTATCAAATATTCAGGCACAAATGCAAATGAAGGGGGGCTATGATAATGCATACAGTGTCAAGGTAAATAAAGAATAAACATTAGGATAATACAAGAAGGTTTAAAGTACAAGCATTTAACAAACAATCCACCATTTTTATTGCAGGCATGTTGAAAATAGTTGTAAAACATGTTCACACTGTCTTGCAAATAATCTTATGACAGAACTAAGAAATGGACGACTGAGTTTTATTACTTGTGTTCCTCATTGTAAGATGAACATATGACGCAGCTGTTGTGTGTAAGAATGCAATCAAAGAAAGTACTTTGAGCATGTTTGACGATGAGACAAACAGATATAAGTTCTAAAACGTTTTTATTTGTAAGAATATGTCAAATGTGTCATATTAAAAATCATTCTCATTTGTACAGAGATGATTTTGCAGCTAAAGCTAACATTTTAATTGCAAGGTGCATTTGATTTTTATATTCTTTGAATCTTTATTTCTACAGCAAAGACTGGATACTTAATAGAAACAGAAACTGCCATATTATACACAACATTTTTCAGGTGCATTTTTTTTTACAATTTACAATTATTCTTCCATTTTAAAAGAAAGAGATTCATGTTTACTGATATACACAATAATGATATACTAATAATATTAGCTGTTATATTACATGTTACTTGTATTTACTTGTTTTTTGATATGGGAACGACTTTTATAGTAGTAGGTTTATCGTTGATAAGTATTAGATACCGTTCTTGTACTTCCAAATGAGAATGTAAGTACTCCGCGTTACGTAGTAGTGCTTTTGTAAAAAGAAAGAAAGGAGAGAATGTATTTCGCATAGTTCACCTGTGCTGACTAATGCATAAATATTTTAGCGTATATACGGTGAACGTCCAAGTTCACAAAGCACGGCCCATTTTTCCTACTTCTGTATTCACCCCTTAATAGGGTATATAAACCTACATTAGGTAATTTTCGGAACGTAAAGTTATCAAAAATTGAGAAAATGAAAAAATGATTTATACGTATTCGCCTAGTCTATAAACATTCTATTAAACCTCATGGATTATGATAGCCGTTGTTTGTTATACTTTAAACATACAAATTGTGATCTCTTAAAGATACATGGACCAGTGTAAAATGTGGAGAGAAGCAGGGGGTCCATAAAAATTCTTTAGAATCTACTTAACTTAAGAAACTTATTCTGGACCAGTGTATAAATTTACTAGATAATCTGTCAAATTAAATTGTTGACCTATACATAAGTATAAATTTTTACATACATTCTCACCCCCTGTATATGGTAAATATTTACTTACACTTTTGAAATTTTGGTAAAAAAAAATTAAAAATTCGTAATATATGAACGCTGGATTAACCATAGAAAATTTCGCGCGAAAACGAAAAAGTAGAATATAGCTGTAAGTATTGTATTTAATATGTAAGAATAAACTTGTGTATTTGAAAATTAGAACTATTTAAGTGCTTCCCTAAGGTGTCATAGGCATATAAAGGACATTTTTTATTTTCAACAGTTTTTTTGGCAATAAAATAACCAGTGATTTATATCGTATTATATTTTTCTTCATAACTAA